TGAGGAGTAAGTGCACAGTGACTCCTGTTGTTGACTTAACAAATTGACACTCTTGTTTATGGCATCAGTAATCACCCTAGGCTCTTGTCATGAGCTGCCAAGGCTATGGAAGCCCCCTGAGTTCACTGACTCTGATAATTTTTGGACAAGGCCATGGTCAAAGTGGAATTTGCTCTCCTCCATTCAGAGAAAGGTACCTCCTTCTTTGATGGCCCCGTTCTTTCCACTGGGATCTCACTTGTGGAGATCTTTCATTTAGGTTTTTTTTTTTTTTCCAGAGTGTCTTGGCTTTCCATGCCTAAAATACTCTCATGGGCTTTTCAGCCGGATCCACATGCCTTAAGGGCTGATTCTGAGGCCAGAGTGCTGTTTAGGACATCTGCCATTCTATGGGTCTGCTGTGTATCTCACTTCCCATGTTGGATCGTTCTCTCCCTTTTTGATTCTATCAGCTAGTATTTGCAGACACTATTCTTGTTTATGTGATCCCTTTGGTTCTTAGTCCTATCATACATGCTTTCTACTTTTGCTTATTGGCAGTTCAGTGGCTTCCTTTGTACTCATTCTCTGTGTGTGTGTGTGTGTGTGTGTGTGTGTGTGTTTCTCCATATCTGTCACTCTGCCTTTCAAATAAATAAATAAATAAATGTTCAAAGAATGAAAATATTTTTGCACCAAAATAAAATTATTTCTTAATTTCATTTTCCATGGACTTTAAAGAACACTCATATGCATATGCATTTTATATTATCAGGATAAAAATCTAATAAGCTTATTTATTATAAATTGTTATATAGATAGGTATAGGAAGATACAAACATAAAAACTAAAATCTTTAATTTTCCATGTGTAGGCAAAGATCTGCTTCAACTGTCCCTGAGGAATAGCTGAGAATGACACAAAGTATATAAAGACTGTTCAGTATCATCAGCAAACCAACACAGTAGACTGTTGATCCAGTCAGAGTCTTAAGGAAGGAAGACTATTCTCCACCATTTGGATTCCATGAAAATGAGACTGTGATGCATCTAGTGTCCTGGACCAATGCCTTCCAAACATAAGCAGCATCTGCTTCACCTGGGAACCTTGTGAAACGCAGAGCTCTGGGTACCATCTCAGGAGATGCTGACCCAGAATATTTGAGGTGAGGCTCTGTAATCTCCAGTTTATACCTGCTTCAAGATGATGCTAAGGCTGCAAGTCAGCAGCTTAATGGTTGCTGCACACTGTGTAGCACTGGCATGGAGACTACTTTATTCACAACAAATCAAAGCAGTTAACCTGGGAGTGTGGGAATTGATACCTGCATGACACTGGAGTATCCAAGTTAAAGACTGTGTTGGGAACAAAGAGAAATGCTTACTTCCAAATACAACTGAAATGCTACTCCTCCCAGTGTGCCCTATTTTCTAGGTTACTGTTATTGGTTAAACTGAGTCCCTAAAAAGATGCTGGGGTCCCTAACCTCCACGCTGTACAGATGTAACCTAATATGAAAATAGTGTCTTTGCTGCTGATGAAGTTTCAATGAGTTCATTAGGTTGCCCTTATAGAAGTGGGCAATTCAGACACAGAGAGAGATACACAGAAGGAAGATAATATGAAGACACAGAGAATATCATCTCCAGGCCAAGGAGAGACCTGGAACAGATGCTTCCCACACAGTCCTCAGAAGGAACCAACCTTGTAAACACTTGGATTTGTTTTTGGACTCCAGCCTCCTGAACTGTGATATGTACATTTTGCTTTTAAGCCTCCTGGTTGGCTATTTTGTTGTGGAAGTTCCAGGAAACTAATAGAGGAGTATTTGGAAAAGTTCACAGAAAATATAATCAAAAGATAAGTTAATTTTGGTGTAAAAATTTTTGAACTTCACGTATAGTTTTTTCATAATACCCATTTTCCATGAACATTTTGAAGATCTCCTATGTAGTTACTAATGCCTTAAATAACATTTATACAGTTTAAATAAACATGCATTTTTACATCAAAGTCTGAGTGATACAAATAATACTTCTAACATTCTTGTTATCCTACCATAGAAAAGTAGGGTCAATCAAATAAAAGCCACTGTTTGGAGTCATGCCCAAACAAAGTCAAAGGTAGAGTGGTAACCTTCAAGATAATGGAGACACTGCACCATAAAGTACCTGGCATTAGCAGTATACCTGGAGGCTGCACACCCTGGTCTCACAATTCTGAGATTCTTCAATGTTTTCTCATTTCATGAATAAGTTCCTAGTAGAGTTATTTATACAGACAGACAGCATGGAATAATAATCTCTATCCTCTTCCAACTCTATTATTCCTGAGAATCAACTAGATGATGTTGTAAATGTTTTAAGCTTCTTGAAAGAAAGGGATTATATAAGTACATATTGCCATCAACATAATTGTGAGCTAAGAAATTGAAAGCAAGGGTTAAGCTTTGTCTATGAAAAGCTATTTATCTGATGGGGATAGTCTACTTTTTGAAAATGGCAGCCATGCTTGGCAAGCAGTTGTGGCTCATGAATATTTATTGCACACTCTTAACTGTTGACACCTGATTTGATGCTAGATGTGCCCAGAACACTACACAAAACAACACACTCAGCTGCAGGCCCCGCATGATTTCTGGTTTTGCAAGCTTCAGATACAACTCTTCCATCTCACCTTATCTTGATTCTATCGCACTGCTGCTGGGTTATGTGTGGGACGTATTCTCATTCACCCCTGCTGTACCTTCCTGTAAGCCTTCATCATGACCAGGGGTTTATGTTTTTCCCCCTGCAAATTATGCTTTGGATAAATGAATAAAGGGATGATTGTAATAAAAATGTTTTACTGACTGAAAAAAAAAAAAAAGATAATGTATCCAAGTCCCGCCAACCTTAATTTTCAACACAGAGAAGCGGATGTTATCTGGGAATTCCCTGAGTAAGATGTGAGTCCTTTCCAAACTGAAATGATATGTCCAAGGCCTCTCTGGGGATCTTAAAACAATAATGTGAAGCTAAGGAAGGTATTAGGAAACACAATAAATAACAAAACCCATCTGAGTTATGTTGGCCTTAAGAGCATGAAGGCCTAATGCTTTTCACCAGTAGATTAACACTTTTATTTTATTTTTTTTAACTTTTATTTAATGAATATAAATTTCCAAAGTATAGCTTATGGATTACATTGGCTTCCCCCCCCCAATAACTTCCCTCCCACCCGCAACCCTCCCCTTTCCCGCTCCCTCTCCTCTTCCATTCACATCAAGATTCATTTTCAATAACTCTTAAAGAAATAGGGCAATTGTTTTTGTTTTTCACACTTAGAGACACTACAACATAAGAATGTAATCACTAAATAAGTAAATATCTAAAAGTTATTTCTATTAAAATTTTTTACAAATATAAACTTAGTAAATATGAATACTTTTCTTGGTTCAAATCATCTGGTTTTAGTCAATAATAAACAGCCATCCTCTTGTTAGAATTGTGTTGCTACTGTGGAAAAAATGCAAGATTAGTTCATGAACATATGAGTTCATATTTTTGTTATCAAGAGGATGCTTCCTTACAACTGTAATTATGCCATGATTGAATATAGCCATAAAACTTTCAAAAAGTATGAATTTAGATACATTATAATTTCTTTATGGGCCACAATAAGCTAGAAAATAATTGCTTAGACAAGAACCTCAGTCTCCTAGCTCCATTCATGTGTTATTTTCTTGGGCTGGTATTGTTTTAAAGTGTTTCAAAATTCCTGAACTAGCTGTGCTCTACTTATTTCTTTTTCTTTAATATCATCTTGCAGTAAAGGAAGAAAGGCAATAACCTTTGCATGTCAGTGCTACTACTAGGATCGTCCCTGCCGGGTGATCCTTTCCTGCTAGCCTTATTGCTGAGGGGCTAGAGCAGTCTATGCTCATAGAGCACAGTTAGATTATTAATGTAGATGACTCATAACAGGAACAAACCTCTCCAAAATATTTTCCTTATGCTGCCTCCACAGTTCATTTCAATAAATTATGATATCCCATTCTTCTCACTTTACCATTAATATTTAAATATAATTCCCATTTGTCAGCTTTGCCACATAACACACACAGGGAATCCATTGCTATTCACTGTTAATGAGGTAACTTTTTCAGGATATTTCTTGATGTATAATTGGCTTTCCATTTTACAATTCTACCAAGAATGCAGACCATCTTTTAAAGACATTTACCACTAATTATGAAAACTAACATTTTAATCTAGTAAACAATGAGCTGCATTATTAGGAAACTTTAAGGGCCAATAAATTATTCATATTAAAAAATAATATTGACAGAAAAGTTGACTGTAACCTTCACTGGCAACCCCACCCTGTCAAAAGAAAATCAATTATCAAATAGACCACAGGAGTGAGTAAAAACCAAACCCAAACATAAAACATGTTCAAAGCCATAAACAGGAACAATTTATCTGTTAATTTAATCACATGTTTGATAATATACTTAAATGATCACTCAATAAAATAAAACTGGCAGGTAAGTATTGTGCTTTATCTATAAAGCAGTTCAAATTCTAAGATAAATTTAGAGTAAAAGAAGGAAAAGGACAGAAATTAAAACTCAATGGATATTTCATATCAATTCTTTTTATTTGTGAATTATCAGTAATATCTGATTTCGATACTTATGTGGTTAACCTGTAGAACCATTACTAAAACTGGTTTATACAATATAGTCATGGTGATAGTGCTAACTTGGTTTATAGACATAAAGCAAAGTTTTATTTGATTCAAAATGTAAATCAATTATAAGCACCTCTCTCCCATTCCAATTAAAACATTTATTTAGTTTTTAAGTCAGTTGTTTTGTCACTCAGGAATCATAGTTGACCTAATATATTTAGTTTAAAATCCACACATGAAATAATTCTGCATTAAGGGTATATGCAGCCTTAAACCTTAAGTAATAAAAATTGAGGTTTTATTTATTTATTTTTTTGAGACATACATCTCTTTAAATCAATTCCTACCTGCAGAAGTTGTCACGATTTCTGTAGTGTTTCTGAGGCCCATGAAGTCAAACTGATAGAGTCGCCATGACTTCTGATCAGCTGCCTCCACTGAATTTTTTCTCCATCTATAAATCATTTCTTCTTTGGGGTAGCCATCTAAAAACACAGAATAATGACATTTGAAGACAGAGATTTATAAACTATTAAAAGTCAAAATGGTAATTTTATTACTTAATAGAATTTGAAGTTTTTGGCCTTGTTTTTCTGTTTCCCTCAGAGACACAGAAAATCCCAAAACAAATGGGCCACTGCCACCTTATTCTGCTGTAGGTCTTCGTATTCAGCAGTATTCCTCGGTAACAAGTCTGGCCCTTGTCCATGTGGACCAGTAAATAAGGGACCACTGTCTGTGCTGCTGCGTCAACTTTGGACAGCCATGACTGCAGTCTTCCCAGAGTAGAAGTGCCAGCAAGAGTCTCCCTGGCTCCTAGACACTTAGTCGTTGGCCCACACTGATCATACCTTCTACTCTCCCCCAGAATTTTGTGCATCCAGAACTCAGGAATGACAAAATTTAGAAAGGCAATCACTCTAGGATTTGAGAGATCAACTGAGGTTTAGCCTTTGTTATGGTCTGAGTATGGTTTGTCTCCCAGAAGTTCATGTGCTGAAAGTGTGGCTCCCAGTGAGGTGAGGCCTTGAGAGGTGATTAGATTATGGGGTCACTACCCTCATGAATGGATTAATTAATGTCCTTCTTGAGGCAGTGAGTTCGTTCTCTTGAGATTGGATTAGATCTTGTAGTATCATAGGACTGAGTTGGTTACTGTGAGAAGGGATTGTTAGAAAGCAGGTCACCTCCCCTCTGTCTCAATGGCACACATGCTCCTTCCACTTTCTGCTTCTCTGTCATAATATGAAACAGCACAAGGCCTTAACCAGCAGCTGAGCAGAGCCAATACCCTGCTCTTGGACTTCAAGAACTGTGAACCAAAACAAACCTCTTTTCCTTATGTATTACCAATTTTGTGTATTTTGTAAGAGCAAAACTAAGAAAGCAAACTAAGACAGTCCTGTTCTGGTATTAGTCTCCAGTTTTGTCCAATGAACTGTGTCCACTTTTGTTAAATACTTTAGGGAGCAACATACAGGTGTTTCTGCTCCTCTAGGTCCAGTGTTGGTAACTGGCCTGGAGACAAAGGGCCATGAGCTGTGCTGGCCTCACTCCTGCTGGTGCCATCACCAGGCTCCATAGCAGTCTGAGCCAGATATTACCCAAATATTTGCTTCTCTGACTTCCTCTTCACTCTGAGAATCCCTAGTGCTGAACCGGGCTTAGGACAACACCATTCACTCTGCACTGTTGCTCTCTCACGTGGTCAGATGGTTGACCAGGCACGTTGGCTTTCTTTGTACTGTCCTTTCTCCTGGCTCTGCTTCACAGGCTATGCCTCATTCCCAGGAGTATGTCTGGGTTCCGGGTTGTCGCTCAACATGTCAGCACTGACACTGTTGGCTTTTTATTCACTGATGACATAACTTCGAAAAGAAGAAATGTATGTACAATTTTGATGAGTTATCCTGCATGCAAAAGTCACATTGATAAATACACATGGGAACACATTAATAAAGGGACTCAATGTTGCTGATTGAACATTTGGATCAGTCTGCAAAACTTTAAAAGGTAATTTGCTTGTTTGAGTGCCCTCCTCCCCTTTTCTGCCTTATATTGTTGGTTTGGCTCTTTAATTAAAGACTGAAATACAGCACAAGCACGTCTACTTCTTGATGCATATGGCTCCTCGAAGTTATTATCAACATAGCAGGGTCACTTTATCTCCCCAAACTTGACAATGTTGAACTCGGTGTACTGAGACTCAACTGAGGCATTTTTATGAAGTAATTAAACATTTTACTAGCTCCTTAGCCACTGTCCTAATTATTTTATATGCACATTAGGTTGTCATAACCTGAAAAGGACTCTAAGCTATAATTCTATTTATTCTTTTTAAAATAACATTATTGATATATAATCCACACAATGTGCACTATTTAGTGGTTCTGAACACATTCTCAGATTGGTAATAATCATCATCATACTCTAAATTTAGCATACTTTTGTCACCTCACAATGAAACTCCGGATCCATTAGCAATCATTTCCTATTCTCCCTCCCAACTCCCACTTCTCATCTCATCCAGTCCCAGGTATTCACTAATATATTTTCTGCCGCTACAGGTTTGCTTATTCCGAAATTTTTACTTGAATTGAGTCATATAACATGTGACCTTTTGCAAACAATTTCTTTCACTGAGCACAGTGTATTCAAGGTTGGCCTACTATAGAATATATCAGTACGTCATTTCTATTTATTGCCAAATAATAATATTTGATAGGTATATCATATTTTATCTAGTCACAAGTCAGTAGACCCTTCACTTGAGCCCTTTTTTCACTATTAAACACTTGCATACAAGACTTGTGTTGCTATGCTTTCCACTCTCTTGGATATATACCAGACTGTTTTCCAAAGTGATAGCACTTTAAAAACCCACCAACAAAGTGTAAAGGCTGCAATTTCTTCACATCCTCCCTCTTATTTGTGTCTGTCTTTTAAATATATCAATTGCAGTGTGCAGAAACTGGCTTCTAACTATTGTTTTAATGTGTACTTCTCTAAGTACTAAAACCCAGACCATATTTTCATGCTTCTAGTGGCCATATACACTGATATATGTCTTTTGTTTAGGTGTCTGCTCATATCTTTTGTTCATTTTTAAATTGGGTTATTTTCAAACTGTTGAATTGTAGGATATTTTTGTAACTTTTGGCTACAAGTCCCTCAGATATATGTTTTATATTTTACCCTATTGTGTGACTCATTGTTTTTTAAGAAGTTGGAGTTTTCTAAATTGGGGTAATACATGATGGATCTTCAAAAAGTTCATGGGAATGCATACCATGAACAAATTAAGCATGGATATCAATGTTTTTGCACCAAAATCAACTCATACTAACTTGTTACAGCATGTTTGAACAGGATTTAGTGTGAGGCAGTGAGAAAAATAAGGCATCAATTTGAAAAGACCTCCTACCAGAGCAATACCAATTCTGCTAAAATTGAGATGAGGACAAATACTGAATAGGTAGTGAAGCCTAGGTGGAGGAATGGTGAAATCATTGATGTTTTATGCAAATTTATGGGAAAACCACTCCAAAGAAATTAGCACTTTATGAATGAATTACTAATTTTAAGACAGATAATACTATACTGAATACAAAGCCTGTAGCAGCAGGCTACCCCATTATTTTGTGAACAAAAATTAATCTTTTCTGTGCCCTAATTGAAAAGGATCAATGACTAACAGCAGAAACAGTAACCAACATCATTGATTCATTCAATTATACAATTTTGACTGAAAAAGTAGTAAACGTTCTACACAATGAGTGTCCAGATCAATTGTAGACAAGATCAGATTTTTCAAAGAAAATTTTCAACAAATGGAAATTTTTGTTATATTTTATTTAATAATCTTAAATATGCTTTTAAGGATATTCATTTTTCATTAATAATGTCAAAAGCTGCACCTAGATGATTAAATTCCAAGGATCTTTGGTTCTTTAAGGATAGACCAAATAGCTGGTATCATTGCTTACACGGTGTATTGAACTGGTTGGAGCATTTATCGAGAAATAAGTCGTATATTTTGCCTTTTAATTCCATGAACATTTTCAGTACATAAAAATTTTCCATTTTAACCATATTTACGTATACAGTTTGGTGGTAGTAACCACATTCACATTCACATGTAACCGTCACCACCACCCATCTCCAGAATTCCTTTTCTAGTTAGCATAGTTGATGTTTGTAGCCATTCTAGGATCACAACAAAAATGAGAGGAAGGTGCTGAGATTTTCCTTAAACTCCTTGCATCCACACATTCATATTCCTCTAGTATTAACACCCCATACTAGAGTGGTGATGAACTTACACTGACATATTGTCATCCAGAGCCCCTAATTTGCATTTTGGTTCACTCTTGGTGCTGTACATTCTAGATGTTTGCACAAATGTATCCACCATTGTATTATCACTCAGAGTTGTTTTGCTGTCCTAAATCTCACTATGTCCATCCTCGTCTCCTCTACACCTGGAAAACCATTCATATTTTACTGCATCTATATCTTAACTTTTTCTAGAATGCCATATAGTTGATATTATTTGGCATGTAGCTATTTCATATTGGCTTATTAGTAATAAGCATTTAAGTTTCTGTCATATTTTTCATTGACTAATATCCCATTTATTTTAGTGCTGAATAAATTCTCTGGATGTACTACAGTTTTATTTGTCCTGACTTACTGAGGGTTTCTTGGTTATTCTCAGGTTTTACAAATTATGAATAAGGCTGCTATACACATGCATATACAAAATTTTTGAAGTGTTTTCTTGATTTTCTATCTAATTTTTGAAGAAGAGTTTTTCTGGTAATAGAATTATTTCTCAATGGGAATTTTTTCCCAGCACTTTAGAGATTTTATCTGATGGTCTTATGAAATCAATGGCTTCTGAAGAGAAATCTGATCTTTATTATGAGTCATGTGTGATACACTGTTTTCCTCTTTTTAAAAAAATTTTCTCATTGCATTTAACATTGTTAGTTGGACTATGATATAAATAGGTATTGATCTCTTTGTTGATATTCTCAGATGTCCAGATTGTTTTTGTCTTTTTTGGGGGCTATATTTCTTCAAATAATTTTAGCCCTGTTTCCCTTCTCTTGAGACTCCCATTATGTTTGTTTATAAGTGTGATGATGAAACTCCCATATCAGTTTCTGTACATTTTTCCCCCATCAACTTTTAATTTTTTCTTTTCACTAGATAATCTCTATTGTGCTATTTCAAGTTTGCTGATCTTTTCTTCTGCCTATTCGAATCTATTGTGTACCCAGATGCAGAATTTTTTACTTCAGTCATTTTACTTTCTATTCTAACCTAAACCTCCTATTTGGTTCTTAAGTGATAGTCTCTAGTTGTCAAACATTCCTTTAATTCTTTAGTCAAGGCTTCTTTTCACTCTTTGAACATATTTAAAACAAATCATTTAAAGTCTGTATCCAGTATGTGTGTGTCCAACATATGGCATTCTTTA